ATGGCTCTTTTTAGCCAACCAGTTGCATATAACACATACTTATGGGAGGTAGATAAAAAAAAGTTGCTATCTTTAGTTTGTAAACAAACAATGATCACCCTTTAAACCTGTATGCTGAAATCAGTTCACACAGCAACCTAAAATTGTACCGTGTATGGCAACATGTATTAAAATATTATTTTTATAGCTCAATGAATTAGGCCTTGATTACATCAATAAGCAAAAAGCAGTTTCCATATGTTATAAAATATGGAAACTGTTACAACTAAATATTAATTTATCATTTTTGCAGTAGTGTTGAATGTAAGCTGCTAAAAGAAAAACAGGCCAATTTTCTAGCATGGTTTCTTAAGAAGAATTCCTTTAGCTGCCCTTGAAACATGGGTTGGAACAAGATGGTATGAACAGACCTATATTCTGCTATACACATGGCAGTTTAGGGATCTTTTCATCCACCTTCAATCAAGAAAAGGATACGATTCAATTAAATGGTCCATGGCAAACTTCCACCAATGGTTTGCATTCATTTCAAGGAAAGAAGTCAAATGCAGTCAAAAGAAACCAGCTTTCATCAAAACTGGATTGCTTTTGAGATGTGTTTATTAATTTGTTGTCGCACATTTAGTATACCTTTAAAGTGCATTAGAACTGGCTTGTGTGGAGTAGTAAAATGCAGCTCAAGTGCAGCAAAAAAGTACAAAAACAAAACATGATGTATGGCAAATGGAAAAATAAATGCTAGTTAACATTGATCCATATAACCCAAAAATCACACACTGCACTCCAGATGCTTAACATGCAGCAGAACCAAATTCCTGTGTACAAAAGACCGTAGACAACCTATGGTACTAGAGTTTTTTGGACTTCCTAGTACATCATAGACATATTTGAACATTTTTGTCCTAATAGTACCATCTATATGTGTTTTTTATGATGGCCACAAGTATTAGCAGCATTCTTTTTCCCCAAAAAGAGGTACAGGTCCAATAAAATGAATATATAAATACGTAATGATGAAAATAAATTTGATTTTGATTCTCTCATATGTTACAGGGGTATATTGACTTTTCTGGTTTAACAATTATTGTGGCCTAGGCACAAGAGGCCTTCACAAATCTAGATCTTGCAGTTATATACCAAATGTGAAACCATAGGTTGTCTATTGCTGTTCTACCAGTCAGTAGTCAACTGGCTTTCCTCTAGTGTGTATCTGTATATTTTTTCAAATGTATGACAATTTATAGAATGTACTTTTGTCATTTGTTTTGATATTCATATCATTTCACTCATCAATTATTTTTAGACCAAATTTCATTCTCTCAGTTTACTGTTGGTTTCTCCCATATGTTCTCAAAATGTATATCCGTAATCTCCAAAGATGTCAAAGATTGACTGCCCTCTCTTCTTTGTAAAGTTTAGAAGCCTTATTGGTTAATCTCTGAATTCACTCACTTGTTACTAGCTGTATAAACAGGTATAGTGGCCTGGACTAAAAGCTTTACTATATATCTTCCTAATATAAAACCAACAAAGGTTCTGATATATTTTACATGCGAGCAGAGGTCGGATATCCAATTCTGTATTACCAAGGTTAAGTATTTCATTTTAGGAGTTATTCACTTCTTACAATAGATTATCTGCATGGTAGTGTTGAACTTAGATGGCGAAAGGTATCAGAAAATAACTCCACCTTAGTTCATGTAGTAAACACATTGCTACCCAATATAAAGCACAGGTACACAGAGGAGCTCGGACAATGCACAGTGCATGCAGCCTGATTACAAAAAACATAGACAATTTTATCAACACACTGCATGTAGATTTTCAGAGCAATTCTACACCCGGTTTTCTTATGCATACTAATGCACACATAATGACAGCTATGGTATTTGTACACTTAAAATTGATTAATTAACATACAGAAGCAGTCACTGATGTAATGCTACACTAGCATTAAGTAGTATATTATAAGCTATACACTAACATGGCAATACAGAGGTTAAAAGCAGACGTACCCACCTTAATGTTTTTAAGAACTACTGACTCCCATGACAACACTGTTCTATACAGTGGCATAATATAATAAAATGGAGTCATGTGAGAGGGTTGAAACATACAAGGATTCCATCAAAAGAAGATGCTTGGATGGCCTTTTGTTTGCTTTCAGATTAACGTGAAAGACAACGCATATTTCTTTCTATTTCGTTCGTTACGCGCATGTATTAAGACATGTAGATGTACAGATGGTCTTACCCACTCTTGATATGTTTGATTACACACTACTAATGAATATGCTGATGCATTAATAAATCGCTGTAATACTGCATCACACAAACAGTACGTGAGTAGAATCTGTTTCACAACTGCGAAACAGACACCTGCCAGGCCTGATTTTTCTTGGTTTTATCCTCGCTATAAGATCTTTTTGTCACCCCATTGACATACCATCATCATCTTGTGTCCTCTTTGTCTTCCTGTTCTCAGTTATGTCACATGCTCTCTGTCTACTGTTTGTCCCTCATATATTTGCTGTGTTCATGAGTCGAATGTTACATGGGTACAAAGAGTAAAAAGAACAGACTGGGCCTTGAAAATGCTTATTATTTTGTCAAACTGCAATTTGTAAAAAAAAAAAAAAAAAATCTGAATCTTGTACTGTTATGGTAACTGGTGCCAATACTCAAAGTTCTGCTAACACAGAGCATGTAGCTAGCTAGTGTTAGCTCTCAAATCTCCCTGTATCTTCAGATTGTCTGGTGACCAGCTGCTCACCCAACTTGGATTGTCGCATGCAAAGAGTTTGAGGAATTTTTCAGAGTGATGTATAAATGGTTAAAAAAATATAAAAACTAAATTTAAAATGTTGCTGCTGTGTATGTCTTTTTTTTTTTTTGTAAATCTACCCGTGTAATTAATCTGAAGGAGGTTTACTGACTGTCACTCTAGCCACATGAGGACAGATCCAAGGGATGTCAAGGATTTTTCCTCCATGAACGTGGTCCTAATGGTAAAATGGAACATTTTGGTTTTATGATAATTTGTTTCTCACCGTCTTCCAGATGCCTCTGGTCCCCTTGCCTTGGAGTTTCAATGATGGTCGTTCTTGAATATCTCATGAAGGTCTCCTTGAACATGGGCAAGTTTTCCCATGGCATTGCCGTTGTCGTAGGCAGGCCAATATGGCAACACTTCACATGCTCACTTAACAGCACGTACGTATGGACAAATGACTCGTACATACACCGAAAGACATTTTGTGTAGCATGAGCAATTAACAATGATAAAATCAATAGACTGTACCCATGTGCCATCCTCTTCTATCCCTTATCTTTGCCACTTCTCATTACATATCCTTTATCGCTTTTTGGCACTCGATTTCGTGCATAGTCTGTACGGCACAATAATAAGTACCAGGTGCCAGCTCTGAGGGGGTCGCGTCTGTGCCAGCTTCTCCGCCAGCGTTTGTATTTCTGCCAACTCCGCTATCTGCCTCTTTCTGCCCATCTCATTCTGTCAATGCATATCTCACACAGACTTGCTCCCTGTCTGTGTATCTCTCTGCCCCACACACTCTTTCTGTGTGCCAGGCTCTCTGCCCGGATATGCGCACACAGGGCACAGACAAACAGATGCAAATACATGAACATGCACACAGATGGTCATTGCCCACAGCTGCCAGCTCACACCTCAGGGAACAGTAGTGGGTGAGTTGGTGGGGGTGAGATATATACGGTTCGATATTGGTGGGAGGGTAGAGGAGATGCTGTTTTTTCGATGGCGGATGCATCTGCTACTCTGCGCACTCTCCTTTCTTCGTCACCGCGCGCTCTTTCCCTGTTGTCTCTTGCAGTCTGTCATCTTGAAGGGGGCAGGTACAGGCTGGCTCGGTGCCACTCACATGAACCCCCCATCACCGCTCTCTGCTCCCTCCTTACACACAATTTCTAGCAACCCCCTCATCATCACCACACAGCATTAATTAGCCGGAGAATTCATTATACTCACAAATCCTAATTAACACAAACAGCCTAAGGGGAATTAGGAAAACCCGTCACGGCAAAGGAAGGGTTAACCAGGGCTGCTTAGTTTTCTGTGTGCCATAATAAAGCGATTTCTTCTTTTTGCATATTGCAGGTATGATACATATTTTAGGTGCCTTAGTACAAGAAGATGGGCTTGAAATGAAGCAGGACTGGAGAAGGCAGGGATAAAAAAAGTCAAGGTAAAACATCGCCACCTGCAGGACATTTGGAGACTGCAATATTTCAATATAATGCAAGCATTCTATTTTTTCAAGCAGTTAAAAAAAAATCCCACCTACTGGAAGCTAGGAAAACAATTCAATTTTATTACAAGTACCCAAGCCTGAACACTTTCCCAGATTATGGCTGCTCAGCATGAGATATTAAATGTACTTCTGGCTGTGTGTCACACCCAAAATAAATATATAATCAGTTATATCAAATCTGAAAAATGCAGCACACTAATTTGTTCTGTTAGCAAAACATTCTTTGACGTTGCTGTCACCTTCATCTAAGTGTCTTTTTTAAACCAAATATCCCATTGTGCTTTGAGTTACTGATATGTCCCTTCAGGAAAGTTATTGACTTCGCATACTTCCAACACTGAATTTCCATTGTGTGTAAATGACAAACGCAGGCGCATTCGGAGAGGAACCTGAAAAAAAAATAATGTAATGAGAGAGAGTACTGAGTGAGACATACTAATTTTAGAGAACAAATCACTATTCAAACTAGTCACCCAAGTTCTTTTTTAATATACAGTGTAAAAATCAGTTTTACCAGATTAAATACAGATTTGAACGTTTACTCAGTATTATATATTTATAAACATACAAAGATTCATATTCAGTATATATGTGATTTTATTGTTATTCATCCCCAGTCATAGTAATGTGATGACTTGTGTACCTTTTGGGGGTTCAGCACACGAATGGACTGTGTAACTGATCCTTCACCAGAAGCTGCAAGTACATTACCACTGGGAGCTTGAAGCTGTAGCTGAACACTCTGTAAGACGAAAAGAACAATTCACAATATATTATTCACAATAATTTGCAAACAATAAACGTATTAATGATCACAAAGTAGTTGCATGTTCATAAAAAATCACAGGTTCTTAGACTCAAAACTTTTTTTTGGTACTGAAAAGGGACCTCTAAGTTTCTTATATTTTACCATAATAGATGCATTATTTTTAGAGGTGAACTCCAGTCAAACAGCTAAATACATAGATGAAATGTATGGGAGCTATTTTACCAGCCAAAGGATTTGTTTTTCCGTACATCTAGCCCTGAGATTTACACAATTATGCCACACTGCATAGTCCTCAGTGGCAGGGAAGGAGACCTTAATTTTCTCTGTTGCAGTAAATCCGGTCATGGATCGAATCTTGGCCAGTTCATCAGGGGCCAGCCAAGATTCGATCCATCTATGAGCAGGCTGATTGTACTGAAGTTGATCCATCAATAAACCTCAGTACAACCAGCCTGTCGGATTTTTTTGCATGTGACTACTGCCAGAGGCTATAGCAGCCAGCAGTGATCATTGTGTTCTGCAGACAGAGAAGGCTCCTTGCTGGCAAAACACAACAACACTGCACGAGGGATTTCCTCAATAACACTGACTGTGGTGAGGCAATTGAGCAATTTTCTTTCCTATCACCCATGGTGGAAGGAAAGAAAATTGTATAATCTATGGCTTGCTTCACACTTGCAAGTCTTACCCCTCCCCAGCCCATGTCAGGACCGTTAGCACAGGCCGCTCAGCTAACTGGCTTCGTGTGCTGCTTCTCCCTCTCCCTGTCTGATCTCTACTGTGCTGATAATGCAAAAGCTGATACTGTGTCAATTTTAGGTGCCTGTTAAAATACATTTAATGGTGTACTAATGAATACAGAGCTGCTTTAATTTGGGTCTTTTGTATCTGAAGTTCAGCTATAGTATGACGTCTTAATATCAGAATTAGAATCTTTCTTGAATAAGGTTATCCTTATACCCACCATTTTTAATATCATTTGACTGTTATGCATTTAATCACATACCACTTTCATAAGTGATAAAGGCAGTACTATATTCCAAATATGAGCGATGCCAACATTGCTTTCCAAATATTATTTATCTTGCACAGATGTAATTGTATTCACCTCTAATCCAAACATTTAAGAATCCATTGTACATGGTAATTTAATTGTATTTAAATCATTTGATGATCAGGAAGGGCAGAAGAAAAATGCAAAAACACTTTACAGAGATTACTGTTTCAATATGAAGGTGCTGTGCCCCAAAAGCTTGCTTTTTTTTGAGTAGGACCTGTGAGTGAATAGACCCTTAATTATATTGATATGTTATCCACTCACAAAAGGTGAAGGAGAAAGGATAGCACACACATAGTTTGCACCTGATCTTTACTATTAGGTAAGAAAGGTACAAACCTTCATACACACATTGAAATTTGGAGCTGTTCAAATATGTCCACACAAAAACATCTCATAAAACTGATTCAGAGCATACCTTGGGCACCGCTGCCTGTAACAGGAAGTCAGTAATGTTGGTAGAAGAGTTGTTGATGGCACGCGAGTTGATGACTAGAAGGGAAGGACTAGATGGGGGACGCAGGAATGAAAATTCAACTTGGAGGTTTCCATTATTATATACCTCTATTGAAGGTGGAGTTGCTGTGAAGTACATATACGTAAAATGAGAGTGTAAGTAAAAAGCAACACACATTTGAAATGTACATATGGATATGATCTGAGGTATCAAAACATTTTGAATTTGTTTTGCCAGTCCTTTAGTCACACATGGGCAGGTGACCCATCTATCCAGATTTAGAAGTGCAGTTTTCTATATAATCACTTCTTCAGCCTGCTCACTGGACAATGAATTTACAACACTAGCCTGTCCATTAAGCAATTAGTTGACCCTGGAAATTGTAAGGCTAAACCAGGTACACAGCTGAACTTCCTGGCAGTGTATTTCAATTGTACTACTCTTTTAGACAAATTCCTAGCTAATAGTTTGCCTTTTTTTTTAATTTGGGATTGAGCTGGGGTCAGAACCTCAAATGTTAATGCTATCTGTGTAACTGTGTCCCCATGTCCTGTGTATTTGATGGGCTCAGACATAGGAGATATGCCCATCTGAGCATTTCAGAATAGGAAACTGGGTTAACACTTCCCAATGGTGACATGGGCAGCAATAAAGAAAGATCCAGTAAAGTAAGGAAGCTTGTAAGGAATTTATCTGGTGGGAAATTTCTTGCCATTCCCTATCCAAGTGATGGTTGTCACACAGAACAGGGAGATTTGAGAAATGGGGATATATATAGCAAGTTCTAATCCATGCAAAATGAAAAAAAAAGTTGGGCTGAAGATGGGCTTTAACCACTAGACCCAAGGCCAGTTCTGACATTTCTTTCATACATGTAAAAATTAGCAATTTTTTTTGTTATAAAATTCCTTAGAACCCCTAAACATTATATAATTTTGAAAGCAGAGACCCTGGAGAAAAAAATGGTGGTTGTTATGTCACATTATATTTGCACAAATGTTCAGGAAAAATACAGTTTCGTAAATTTTAGTGTGCACAAACATAATATAATACCCAGTTTTTGGTAGACGATTAAAGATGAAGTTAAGCCAAGTATATCTAACATGTCATACTTTAAAATTGTGTACACCCATGGAACAGCGGAAAAACAAAAAATCTCCATAGGCAATGCTTTAACCTCCCTGGCGGTATGATTATTTCAGATTTTTGGTGCTGAAAGCGGTACCATTTTTTTGCATGGAAATATGTATTTTTTTAATTGTAGGCCTGTAATATTTAGGAATAACTCACTGAAATCTGTCCAAACAAGAGTCTAGTAAACATCCCGGGTATGATAAAATTTGAAACACAAAATCATAAAATTATAATTTAATAAATAATCATAAAATAATATAAAAATAATAAAAAAATTTAATTCAATAATATAATCAAACCAAAAACACTGAAATTTGAAATATAGCGCCAAGTTCGCACATCGCTGAGCTCAGTCGCAAAATCGTTTTCAGTGTCTGATGACGAATTTCCCCCATGAATCATTATCACTCAATTCTGCAAGTGGTTCTGATTTACTATCGCTGTTCTCTAGCTGATCTAAACCGCTTTTGACCTAAAGGGACACTTTTTGGATGCATGGACGTTTCTCAGTTTCCAGGCAGAAAGAACAGACAAAATGCAGGCAGGGCACAAGACAAAGCACTAGGGACAAAATGTATGTGAAATTGGTTGAGACAGCAATGTTTTACTATGTAAAATGTTAAAAAAAAAAAAAGACATTTTTTAAAATTTTTAAATTTCCCACCACCGGCAGCGGCGGCGGCGCCCGTACGTCCCGACGTCACAGGGACAGGACACAGAAGCCGGATGCCGGCATCGGCCGGAGGAGATGGCCGGGGACGCTGCAGGGGACACATCGTGGGAGCGCAGGGTAAGGTAAGTGAAGAACACATGCCGGAGCAGTGCCGCATGGTATTCCCGAGTGTAGCTCGGGGTTACCGCTTTTGGTACTGAAATGTTACCCCGAGCTACACTCGGGAATACCGCTAAGGAGGTTAAAAGCCTTTACAGGTTTCGATCTGACATTCACGGCAATACCTCACATGTTGGGTGTGATCACCATCTACATATGTGTACGAGACCTACATACTATTTTTTACATTTTATTTTTATTATTTATTTTATTTAAAACTCTTTTTATACTGTCCTTTAATTTTTTTTTTTGGATCAATTTAATTGCTATCGCAAAGGGATAGGGAGCAACATCCCTTGTGATGGCATGGGCTGTGACAGGTCCACTTTTTTGAAAGATCTGGGGTTTATTAGACCTCATATCTCAACTCTACCATGAAAGCAGAGGAGAGATGTACACATCAAACCAACACAGGCAGTGACAAAATCCTCGTTGCTTCCAGTTTCTTACAACACAGAGCGGAGGTGAGGACCCTCTCAGTGCACCAGGTATCTGAGCAGTGGCAGTACTGGGCTCCCCAATCTCACAGGAAAAGCCTGGTAAAGGTGGTGCATAACAGTGGGCATCCTTCCTTCCAACCCATGTAGAAGTGATCAGGTGGATGTTTAGCCACTCCAATCACTTCTACATAAAGCCCATCAATGACTGAAAATTTTGATACTGGAATGCCACCTGCTGTTGCAGACGTCATCACAGTATAACCATGTCAACCCAAGGACATACAAGTATGACCTAAAGGGTTGAACTGGTTAAAGCAAACTTGTCATGTTCACAAAAGTGACTAAATTAACATTAATGGCAAAGATGTGACACCTTTGGGAGCCTACAGATATTTGTGCTTGTATTCAGTTTAGTTCCTATATATCTGGGAAGACTCCTGGATACTAGGCCCAGGCCCTGTACCTCTTAGAGTCAAGAATTGCTCCACCCCATGCTATCTGACACACCAAGGCTAAAGGAAAATATGTTTTTACGGGTGGCATGCCTAGTAAGTAACAGTAACAATAAATGTAAACAATAGCAAATAGCAGTTGCAAAATTAACTATTCACAAACAAGATATTATCACTCTTGTTTTAATACGATACCCGAAACCTGGCAAAAAGGAACCAAATCCACACTTCTAGGCCCTGAATTATGGGGAAACCCTAAATACGCTGTATACCTGTTGCATCCCAAAACTGTGTTGGAGCACTCTTAAACTTTTGTAATTCCAGTGGAAAGAAAAGTAAAAAAGGGGTGATACTGTCTCTTTAAAAAGAACAGCAGCAAAGATGGTTGCCAGTGGCCCCTCACCATTCAGAATTAAGTTGTGGAGTCTCTTCCCTCTTGTGGTTGCCAGAAATCCTGAATGCCTGATTAGGCTGCTACCTGGGGTCCTGAGGGAGAGGAGCAGCAGCAGCAACTGTGTAAGGCTGTGTGACAGCACAAGCTGTGTGGCTGCCATTGACAGCGGAACTTCAGCAGGGCGACACTTGTATTACCTGGCCCTCAGATCCAGGAATAACCACTTGCTTGCACTTTACCAATAATGTTAATTTATATGCTTTGAGGGAGAATATTAATTTGTTTGCTCGGGTCTTTTTGATTTGTACTATAGATTCAGTTGAAATTGCTGATCCTTTTACTACAACTTCATAGATGGTGAAATTTTACTTTGTTACATTTTACTATATATAAGAATAGGTATATTTCAGTCAAATTATACAAATAGACCCACATTGCATATACAAATACAAAGACAAGTTAGGCTAAGCAGATATCTCTTGGACTAGTGTTTCTCAAACTTTTTTCAGTCAAGGCACCCTTTAAAATTATGGACAGTCCCGAGGCACCATATAAAATTATGGACAGTCTTGAGAGATCCCATTCTAAAGTGGGCAATTTTTAGACATTTTGCCAAGGCACCCCTGAAGAAACCTCAAGGCACACCAGGGTGCCCAGGCACCCTGTTGAGAAAGACTGTCTTGGACAATTGAAAAATGTTTGTAATTGACAAGTTTATAAAGTTTTTTGTGATCTAATAAGTGTCTAGGGCAGCCATTTCAACCGCGTTCCTCCAGAGGCTGCTAAGGGTTCCTTGAGCTGTGACTAATTGACCCCCCCATCTGGAAGTGTTCTCATGGTTTTGGGTCTACTGCCAATTGGCAGAGCCAGTGGCATGATACCAACAATCTTTTTAGCTGCTTGTAGGGATAGCATTTTGACCACAACTCTAAGGGAGGTATTCTGTATTCTTCCCTGACCTCCAATATAAGGGGCATTTTACTCACTGATCCCCACATTTAATTTTATCTAGGGTTGTCTGAGACCTGAAAATTATTTCAAAGTTTCCTCTGAGCTAAAAAGGTTGAGAAAGGTTGACCTAGTAAGTACAACACTCTCGGTACATACCTGGAGTTGGATTTTCATCCAGGAGATCCAACAAGCTGCCCTCACTAGAATCATTTTGGTTTACAGTTGATGTTCCCACAATCACAGGTGCTAGCATATTGTCTGTGTTGTCTTCCAACAATCCTAAGAGATCAGTAACCTGTAAAATAATATTGAATCAGCTTTTCACACACCTGATCTACTGGTATTTATTACTTTACTTCCTATTATTAAAGTTTTTTTTCAAAGATAGGAATGTTAGAAAACAATATGACTATCCAAAGATCTTTCTACTGAACAGTAACATCTGTAAGGTCCTAAAGTTTTTTTTAATCATACTAGTCCCATTTTTGGTTGTGCAACACAAAGTGCACTGCCATCTGTGACCTGTACCCAACTTTCCTTCTCTTCTGCCTTCCCTTGTCACCTGCCCAGTGGCAGAGTTTTAGATCAAGGAAACTAATCCCCAGCTGTCAACTGTCTAAATGCTTGTAGTATACTACATGAGATCATTTTACTTTCTGAATAAGTCTCCCCTCTTTCACCAGATCAGGTTGAATGGTATTGGCACAACTTGCATAAGATAGACCAACACATAAGGGTCAGCACACAAAAGCTTGACTAGGCATGTGCTGATTGTTTCATTCTGAATCGAAATTTGGACAAACTTTTCATTATTCAGAGATTCAGATGTATCCGAATTTCCGAATTACAATAGTAATGAATTTAAACAAATCCAAAATAAGGAAACAATATTTTGTCAAAAATTCAAATTGAATTTGAAAATTAAATTGAAAACAAGAATTGCATAAAATTGAATAGAAAATAAAAGAATAGAATAAAATAAAATAGAAAAAAAAAAGAATAGAAAAGAATAGAATAGCAAAGAATAGAATAGAAAAGAAATAGAATAGGACAGAATAAAATAGACTATAGCTGCCTTCCAAAATTAGAATTTTGTAAAGAACAGAATAGAATCAAACAGAAAAGAATAGAGTAAAACACAATAGAATAGAAAATAAAATAATAGAATAAAATAGAATGGAAAATAAAGGAATAGAATGGAAGAGTTTAGAATTGAATAGAAAAGTATAGAATAGAATAGAAAATAAAAAAACATAATAACAAGAAAAAGCAATAAAATGCAATAGAATATAACCGTTTTATGAAATTTTAATTTCTAATAGAATAAATTCGAATAGAATAGAATAGTAAAAAATAGAATAGAAAATAAAAGAATAGTAAAAAACACAAAGAATATAACTGTCTTCTGAAATTCGAATTTCGAATAGAATAAATTTGAATTAGAAAAGGAATAAATGAAACTAAACTAATTTCTCTAAACAAAATTATTTAAATAACGAAACAAAACTATTTTTTTTCATTCTGCTCATGTCTAGGTTTGACATTAGGATAAGAATTTTTTTTTACCCATGTAACTGTAATTTTCAAATCTCATTGGAAAGAGCTGAAATGCCTGCCACTTAATTAAAAAAAAATACAAATCCTTCACCCATTGTGTTTACTGTCTACAATGGTTTGCAAAATTGCCTGCTAAAACCTGAGATATGTATGCATTAAATATATGAGAGTCATTTCATACTGAAGAAAGAATTACTTTCATGTTGCTCAGAGCTGGACTGTCCCAGTTCTTCACACACTTAAGTCTACTCACATGACTGGCTGGTACATTGGAGGCTAAGTTTATTTTCTGGAGGATTCTCAACATAAACTTTGTTTTCAGTGATTATACTTTCAGCATCCAAGGTATTAGACTTTTCTGGTAACGGCATCTTTTCCAGGAGAGCACACCTGACCAGGAAGAAATCGATAATACAATGGATCAGTCCTTACATGAATTGCATGGCATTTGTAACACTAGTGATATAACTATCATGACTTTGCCTTCCTCTGGATCAGCTGTAGGTGTAGGATTATAACCTTTTTTTTTTTTATGGTTGAACTGGATGGACTTTTGTCTTTTTTCAGCCAGACTAACTATGTAACTATGTATATCATATTGCGCTGTAACTGGAGCCATGGAGTTATTAGGAGGTTCTGCTAATGAAGCAATTAGCAAATGTGTTAGGGGGGATTGTTTGAAAGGAACACACCAGACAAGCCATTTCTGTAAAGCACTAGCGACAGACTTTACAGGCAAGGTTCACCAAAAAAACGACCTATGCAGATAAGGAACACTTGCTGATAAAAACAAGCTGTGCAGCTTTGACAAATTGAGCAAGCTGAGCAATGCCCTTGCTATAGGTGTAGGCCATTTATGTACCAGATGAAGCCTGAATGGAAACTTCTAGGACGTTGCTAAGAGACGCCAAGCTCTTTCTCTGATTCAAACCCCATAACGTGTTTTCTCTACCCTGATACAGTAGCTCTGAGCTCAGCATTTCAGAGCTCACTCCTGTGATGGTGAAGGTGAACAGTAACAGCTAGGCTTCTCCTAGCAACATCCTTAGAAACTTCTTAGAAGTTTTACATTCAGATTTCATGAGGTATGTAAATGGCCTACAACTATAGCAAGGGCATTCCTCAACGTTGGTCAAAGCTGCACAGCTTTTTATCTACAGAGGTCCCTTATCTGCATAGGCAGGTTTATGGTAAAGGTGAACTAACTTTAAAAATCCATTGGAACTTTACCAGAATTTACACATAAGCATTCACTAGTGTGGCTACAGCTTACGTAGACATTTCTTAGGTAGGGTTGCCACCTCATCCCTTTAAAACCAAACACATTAATTACACAGGTTCTGAGGCTAATTTATTGCAGATAAAGACCTAAGCAAGTTTAATTACCACCTTAATCAGCCCCAGAACCTGTGTAATTACTATGTGTTCGGGTTTAAAGGGATGAGGTGACAACCCTAGTCTTAGTGCCCATGCATACTTGTGCAGTGCATTAATGTGTGGTGTTAAGTTATTCAAATGAATTGGCTGCCTTAAATCAGCACACTAATGTAAATAGATCCTTACTGTTGACAGACCTTTTACTGCTCCCCAAAGTTAGATAAATCCCAGAAATAGGCAGCGGTAGAGCAGCTGATTGAATGGCTGTAGTGCTAACAAGGCAAGGGGCGTCAGGCCAGTGTGTGGGCACAGTGATCCTTACGTTCAGCTTGCTATTTATTGGCTCTTTTAGCTGCCATTGGGGAGCAGTAAAAAAAGTCTGTCAACAGTAAGACTTGCCCACATAAGCCTCACTAGTGAATGTTAATGTGTAATTAATATATAGGAGCAGCTGATTTGTATTTCTTCCCATCCACTTCTGAGATTTATGCAGGCCATAGACGATGAGAAAACCGGACGTTTTTTTTTTCGAAAAACGAAAAATCGGTTGTTCAATCGGCCAACATTACCACCATTGGTAAAAAAAAGTCGGCTGATTTTCGTCCCGTCTACGGCCGGCAAATATAATAGCAGTGTCCCTGCAGAAAGCTCCGCTATTATATTTGACATTTAAAAGTATAGCAAAGTTGCAACATTGTATCTATTTGTATCCATTTCGGATACAGATGGTTCTATTCGGATACAAATAGATACAATGTTGCAACCACAATACTTTTAAATGTCAAGTATAATATTGGACTGAAATTCTTTTTTTTTCTTTTTCTTCTTATTCATATTCTATTTCTTCTTTTTCTTCTTCATATTCTATTTCTTCTTATTATTCAAATTCTATTTCTTCTTTTCTTATTATTCATATTCTATTTCTTATTATTATTCATATTCTATTTCTTCTTTTCCTCTTATTCATATTCTATTTCTTCTTTTCTTCTTATTCATATTCTATTTCTTCTTTTTCTTCATCTTATTCTATTTATTCTTATTATTCATATTCTATTTATTCTTTTTCATATTCTATTTATTCTTTTTCTTCTTTTCCTTCTTCCAGGTCAGAATCGGTAAAAAGATCGGCTGATTTGTCCATCATTGCTGCGAAAATCGGCCGACCGACAAAATTGGCCGATTTTTTTTTTCAACATGACCGACAAAAAAAAATGCGTCAAAATCATGAAAAACGGCCGACCGATTACCCCACTAACGATCTGAAAATTGGAAGATTTTTTTTCGAACAAAAAATCGGCCAATTTTCAACCCATCTATGGCCTGCCTTACACAGCCCTGTCAGCCAGGAAAGACCTGATTTATCTACAGTTGAATAACACCAACAGGTCTTGTCCCTCCCTCACCTTTTGATCAGAGAGTGAAAAAAGAAGCAGCTGACTGTCGATCTGAACTCTCTGTCATCTTGCTTTCTCCTCCTATCACCCAAATGGCCCTTAGAGCTGCTTGCCCTTCACTCAGTCTGAGCTTTGTTGTACAAACACTGCAAGATGCTAACGCAATGTCAAAGTCATGTTTTTACACTGCTTGCAATAAAAAATAAAACATTTCAATTATGTATTAATAAATGACAAGCTGCTGTAATATTGTGTATTTATACAGTATCTGCCCTGAATTGAGATTTAAGGCCCTGTGCACATAAGGTGGTTTGAAATCGCGGGCAGAATCACTGTGATTCCAAATCGCAGCAGAAAGTGTGATGTGCATTTGGATGCCATTATTTTTAAAAGAAGTTGTTGTGTGGCAAAATGCACACTGAAAAATCGTGCTAAGCTTGTCACCCAAAAAGGAGCAGGAGTTTCTTTTGGGAAAAAAAATGCACATAAGGCAACCCATTGAAGTGAATGGGCTGCCCTATGTGTAATACGCGTATCCACGTGTAAGCTAACTTTAACAATATGTGAGGTCTGAACGGGGCCTAAAGGTTGGTTGTGAGGATTATATTACAACACAAAAAATTGTATTGTCTTTTACCAGACAATCACAGGCTAACCTAGTGTCTTCCTGATTGTTTTTTGATATTTTGCATTCACAAACACAAGTTTTGTAAAAAAAAAAAAAAAAGCAGAGGGTAGTACAATTTTAATATCACCAGAAAGGGTGTTTAGAGCTAGTCAATTACACTATATTGCAAAAGTATTAGGACGCCTGCCTTTACACACACATGAACTTTAATGGCATCCCAGTCTTAGTCTGTAGGGTTCAATATTGAGATGGCCCACCCTTTGCAGCTATAACAGCTTCAACTCTTCTGGGAAGGCTGTCCACAAGGTTTAGGAGGGTGTCTATGGGAATGTTTGACCATTCTTCCAGAAACATATTTGTGAGGTCAGGCACTGATGTTGGACAAGAAGGCCTGGCTTGCAGTCTCCACTCTAATTCATCCCAAAGGTGTTCTATCTGGTTGAGGTCAGGACTCTGTGCAGGCCATTCAAGTTTCTCTACCTCAAACTTGCTCATCCATGTCTTTATGGAACTTGCTTTGTACACTGGTGCCCAGTCATGCTGGAACAGGAAGGGGCCATCCCCAAACTGTTCCCACAAAGTTGGGAACATGAAATTTTCCACAATGTTTTGGCATGCTGGCGCCTTAAGAGTTCCCTTCACTGGAACTAAGGGGTCAAGCCCAAATCCTGAAAAACCAGCCCACACCGTAATCTCCCCTCCACCAAACTTTACACTTGGCACAATGCAGTTAGGCAGGTACCGTTCTCCTGGCAACCGCCAAACCCAGACACATCCATTGGATTGTCAGATTCATCACTTCAGAGAACATGTCTCTACTGCTCTAGAGTCCAGTGGCGGCGTGCTTTACACCACTGCATCCAATGCTTTGCATTGCACTTGGTGATGTAACGCTTGGATGCAGCTGCTCGGTCATGGAAACCCATTCCATGAAGCTTTCTACGCACTGTTGTGCTATTCTGAAGGCCACATGAAGTTTGGAGACCTTTAACTATTGACTGTAGACAGTTGGCGACTTCTGAGCACTGTGCACTTCAGCATGCACTGACACCGTTCTGTCATTTTACGTGAGTTGCTGTTGTTCCCAGTTGCTTCCACTTTGTTATAATACCACTAAGAGCTGCCCGTGGAATATTTAGTAGCAAGGAAATTTCACAGACGGACTTATTGCACAGGTGGCAACCTATCATGGTACCACACTGAGCTCCTGAGAGCGACCCATTCTTTCACAAATGTTTGTAGAAGCAGTCTGCATGCCTAGGTGCTTGATTTTATACACCTGTAGCCATAGAGGTGATCAAACACCTGAATCCAATGATTTGGAGGGGTGTACCAATACTTTTGGCAATATAGTGAAAGTTCCAGACAGTGTGGGAGATTTAATAAAACTAGAGCATTCAGAATCTGGTACATCCGTGCATGGTAGCCAATCAGCTTCTAACTTTAGCTTGTTCAGTTAAGCTTTGGCAAAAAACCTGGAAGCTGATTGGTTTCTATGCAAAATTTCACCATATTTCGCACTGTCCAGTTTTAATAAATACCCCCCCAGTGTCTACCAAAAAAACAGTGCTCTGCTACTGGTACCTCATGTGATCATATTTCTTAAACAGCGCGTTGTATTCTACAGCTCTCTGCTGTAATTCCACATCATGGCAGCAACCATATATAGACACCACACGACGAATGCGACTGGGGGAGAGAAGACAATTGTGAATACAAGTAGCATCTCTAGATGTCTTATGTTTTATTCATACTAGATATAACATTAAGGATATCTGTGCTGTTAGAAACCTGCCTCTTCCATACCCCCGCTTTTACCTTGGTGTTGTCTCTGCTATGCTGCCTGAGCATTGAGCCCTGATTACAGAGAACAACAGCCTGTGCCTTGCAGGCCATTATTCTCTAGATTCTGGGGACGATGAATAATCATACATAGAATTGCAGAGAGGCTGACTTCCCAAGGGCTGGTTGAAGTCTGGTCTGAGGTCTGGCTATAATGATATTATTTGAACCTTTGGATCCATAAAAGTACAATTTATCATATGAAATATGGAGGTTTCCACTATGTATCCTTTTTTTCTCAAAATGCTAATTGTTTGCTCTCATGTTGGACCCCCTTACTTCTACAGTTTAAAGTGCATTTCCACTTTTGTAACCAAATTGGGATAACACCTATTTCATATTTGTTACATGTCCCCATTTACACAGCATAACTTTAAAAAAAGTAACAATTGTAGCTTACCTTTTTTAGATGCTTTATTCTGGACCCTCCAGAATGGAAGAAATCCTAAGTAGTTCTTTTTGTTTAGGAGGGGGCTGGGCAGCAGTGTTTGCCATACCTGTCTGTACAGTTCAGGCAGATCTTCATACTCAATTGTAACTAGTTTTGAACACTGTCTGTCCTAACAAAGCATTAAAGGTGTAGACGCTGGGCATCTTGCAGTGTATGGTAATGAGGACAGGTTGCATGAAAGAAAATTGCTTGATTCCCCTACCAGCACAGTCAGTGTTAATGGAGGAATCCCTCCCGCAGTGCTATTGTGTTCTGCCATCAGAGATCCTTATCCGCCAGTAGAGTACAATGATTACTGCTAACATCCACCGGCAGTAATTGCATTTAAAAATCAGACAGGCTGGTTGTACCCAAGTCAATTGATGGATCGATTTGGGTACAACCAGCCTGCTCATAGATGGATCAAATCTCAGCTGGTCCCTGCTGAACCAGCTAAGATGCGATCCATCTTTGGCCAGCTTAAGGCAGTCAGTGTTGATGGGGGAATCACTCCCGCAGCACTATTGTGTTCTGTCAGTGGGAAGCCTTCCCTGTCAGCAGAACACAATGATTAGTGTTGCCGTCTATAGCTGGAGGCACTAATCGTTCGGGAAAAACCTGACAGACTGGTTGTACACAAGTCAATCGATAGATTGACATGTGTACAACCAGAGTGCCCATACATGGATCAAAATTCGGATGGTCCTTGTGAAAAAAAACTTGCAGTCAGCTATGACACCTCCTCCTGAGAAAGTCAGAAAATATTTTAACCACTTGCAAACCATGCTATAGCCAAAAGACGGCTACAGCGCGGTCAGCTAGTTCTGGGAGGGCGTCCATGGACATCCTCCAAGAGCCATGCCTCCTGGGTTGCGCATCAAGCATGATCTGTGATCCTTTGGACATAGCTGATCACTAATTTTGGTAAAGCGCCAATCAGAGTGGCCCTTTACCATGTGACCACCTGTGTCCAATCATAGTTGACAACAGGGTAAACAGGCAATGCTGGTTATCGTCAGTCCTCTCCTCACACTGACAGCGCATGTAGAGAGGAAAGTCGGTAAGTGGCGATGTATAGAAGGGACATCTCCACTGATAATCAGTGTCCTGATTATCAGTGTATCCCCTTCAGTGCCACCTTTCAGTGCCCACCAGTGATGCCTGTCAGTGCTGTCTATCCGTGCCCATCAATGCTGGCTATCAGTGCCCATCAGTGATGCCTGTTAGTGCCTCCTATCAGTCCCCATCTGTGCTGTCTATCATTGCTGCCTATCAGTGCCCATCAGTGACACCTATCAGTGCTCATCAGTACTGCATATCAGTGCCTATGAGTGCTGCATATCAATGCAGTCTCATCAGTACATCGTCAGTGTCTCCTCATCAGTACCCATTAGTGTAGCCTATCAGGGCCCATCAGTGCAGCCTATCAATTCCGCCTAGCAATGCCATCTATCAGTGCCTATCAGTGTTGCTTATCAGTGCTGCATATCAGTGCCACATATCAGTGCCGCCTCATGAGTGCAGCCTATCAGTGCCCATCAGTGCAGCCTCATCAGTGCACATCAGTGAAGGAAACAAATCACTTATTTAAAAAACGTTATAACAGAAACTAAGAAAAAACAATTTCTTCAAAATTTTTTTTTTTTTTATTTGTTTAGCAAATAAATAAAAATCCCAGTGATTAAATACCACCAAATGAAAGAATGAAAGCTCTGTGTAAAAATTTTTTAAAAACTTCTATTGGGTATAGTGTTGCATGACCACACAATTGTCATTCAAAGTGCTACAACACTGAAAGGTGAAAATTGGCCTGGGCTGAAAGGGGGTGAAAGTGCCCAGTGCCTACTGTTAATGTTAAAAAACATTTTAAGGTATGCTGTGTGAATGGGAACACATATCAAACATATATTGGGGTTTTCTCAAATTCCAATGCAAAAGTGCACTAATACAGCTACAATCACCTCAAGGAATGCAAAAGTGGAAATATGTTTTAAGTAGCTGCCATGAACAAAGTATACAGAAAACATTTTACTGCTAGTGATTCAACAGCCAGGCAATTCATTTTTTTCAGCAGAAGGGTAGCAATGGCAGTTCCCATATTTCTCATGTATACTTACTTGCATTCCTGCACAAAGAAATTAATATAACCTACTTCACGCTGTTTTGAAAACGTGTGCTCAGCTTCATGATTGCAGTCAATGTATACGCCCGTGTGCTTGGTAGGGAAACGTGGGACTGTAATACTCCTTCAAGAACATCAAGAACATCATCTTCTGTTACCTGTGCACATTAATCTATATCAGTTTAGGAAAGGGTTTGATTTCTAGACAGCATCCTGTATGCCCTTATTCTATCTTATACAAATACAATGATATAGTTTTATATATTTAGATGTTGTACCCATTAAGTTAAAGCATGCTATGCCTGCACTTTTTTTTGCAACTTATTAAAGTCAAACTAGTATCAGAAATATTTGTTCATGTTAAATCCATGCATGGTAAGTAATATGTACAGTATCTAACACATACTTGCAGAGATCACAGTACTTCCCATGACATGCTGTCACCTGTTTTTTTTGCTTTAGGAAGGAACCTCCTTTGTTCAGAAATAGTCCAGGGTAAGCATCTAATTCCTTGACTAACATGCTATTTAGAGATGGCAAATTTTTAAATCTTGGTGTCTGGGCTGTTCTTAGCTGTGCTCATAAATGTCTGACACAGATCAGCCCCTGATAGAGTTTTTTCTCACCTTCTGACTTGGTACTAAGTTTCAATGGTACAGTCTAATCACAAACAGAGAGGAGACTGAAGAATTGTTTTCCTTCTGCTTGCAGCAAACTGATGCCATCATCTCAGTCTATGCTGAGTTACTTGACTGAAGCTCAATAACTGCTTTTCAAGAGATCCCTGCCCTGATTGAGTTATACTTAGGTTTACATTGATCACATTACTTCCCCACTACTACCTACTTTGTGGCAAACTGAGTGGTAGTGTCACCACTCCACTATATATATATATATATATATTAATGATAAACAGTACAGCATTTTAGAAGAAATATACTGTTGCTGTATATTGTGTCATTTCACTGTTTGCAGACTTTTAAAGGCCCACATTAAAGTAATGGCAAAGTCTAATTTATTTATTTAATTAAAATAATAAACAGGTTTATATTTACCCTCTGTGTGCGAAGGAATTGCACAGAGCCACCCCTTACCTTCTCTTCTGGGTCCCCTGTTGGCCCCCAAGCTGCCACTTGCTATAGGGACAGACAGGGCTGCTGTTAGAAACTGTGGGGCCCCATACAACTAACCTGACAAGGCCTCCCCTCCAAATAAATAAACACATTTTATTATGCGTCAGTTATGAATGAACACAGTGAGTGATCAGTACTGATCACTCTCACTCGTTGTGTTCATTCAGGAATGAAAGGGCCTGGTGAATGTGACATATTTACCAGACCAGCAGGGGGGAACAATTACTGGAACTGATTCCCTGTTGGCTCTCTCTGCAGCAGCTGAAACCCAGCAGACGGTAGAGAAGTAGACGGCTTTCAGCTGCTGCAGATAGCCATACAGGGTATTGGTTCCAGTAATTGTTCCCCCACTGTGCTGATCACCCTCCCTGCCCACATCCGATTCAACCAGCTGCCTGGGCACCCCTGCTGGCCTGGGCCCCATACAGGAGGACTGGTGGTACCCCCTTATCCACGGCTCTGGGGACAGACAGACATGGGGGCTTGCTCCCAAGCTGGGCAGTATATGTCCATAGACAGCTCGGCCCCGCCCCCTACTCTCTGCTCACAGGATTTGACAGACAGCAGCAGGAGCCAATGGCTCCCTCTGTTCAGCAAAGACTGTGAGACTAGGAAGAGGAGAGAGAAGACCTGCAGCCAGGCACAGCGCTGGATCGTTACAGAAGTCAAGTCAGTTTTAGGGAGGAGGGATAACCAGTAGAAGGGTTTTTTTTTTTAACTTAATGCAGAGAATTCAATAATGTAGACCCATTTCACATGACCATTCTGATCAGGTCCCCCTGTCAGTTTTTCAGGCAGACATGATCAGACAGTCCATTGAACTCTATGAAGCCTGTTTACACCTGCCTACCTCTGATCCGGTCTGCTAAAAATAAACGGGAGAGGATCTGCCCTCTTCCATGTAGGCAGATTGGATCGGAGGTAGTCAGGTGTAAAAGGCCAGCCGGTCTGTTTATACCTGTCTGCCCGTAGATTAGAGCAGGCTCAGTCTGCGTCTGAGAAGTACCAAGGCCTGTCATTCCACCCGCTCTGCTCTGCTCATCAGGGGATCAGCAGACAAACCCCCTGCTGAGCAAAATGGATCCGCCCTGTGTGAAAGGGGCCTTAGACTTTAGAACCACTTTAAAATAAGCTTTAAAGCAGTAATAAACTCAAAAACAAAAATGTATTAAATTGCAGATTACCAATACTTAGATGTGGTGGATGCATTAATTTTGTTCTTTAGGCTTTTTTTTCCTTTAATTTCACCTAGTGATCCAGCCAGTAAGTCTGCTTTTTCAATTTCATTTAACAGACCAAGCTATCCAGACAAAGTAGCAGTTAGAGGGTTGAGACAAACTATTTAACACTGACAGGGGTGCTTACAATGAGCAGCTTTTATTCATTTACGTATAAGGTTTTATCGCAAAAGGGAAAAAAACTGCTGTAATGTTTTTGCTTATAAAGTGTTGGAATTCAGCTTCAATTTGTTAGTCATTTATTGGTCAAGCCCATCTAAACCTGATAGTCTAAAGCAGGTATACTCGGACCGAAAGTTGGCTGGTTCAGCAGGAACTGGCAGACTCTCGGTCTGTGTGTACTGCTGTCTAATGGCAGGCTTCTGTTGAGGGGTCCCGCTGGAAAACTAGCATGCTATCAGCACTGCAAGAACTGATCGGTGTATTGTGTCGGGGCGGGAGGGTGGGGTGGTGAGGAAGCCCCCTCTGTCAGATTACAATAGCACTGCAGGGGTTTTTCCCTTTTCCTGCACCATGCATTATGCTGATGCAGGGATCTGTCAGTTTTTTTTCCAGTTCAACCTGTTCATTAAACAAAAAACAACTGCATACGTATACCCATCTGAACACTACCCTCTTCCCAGGCTAACAATGTTGCTGTCCAAAGGTGTCTACTTTACTACTCCCTGAAGAATGCAGACACCCAAAAAGAGGAAGTGTGTTACTGGCTGAATCACCACGTGAAATAAAGGTAAAAAAGAAAACCAATGCAGCTACCACATCTAAGGAATTGTAAGCTGCAATATATTACATTTTTGTTTTTGGGTTTAAAACCGCTTTACATTCCAATGTAAGGGTCACCTGTATTGCTGCATTCACTAGAAAATTATATGAACTTCCCTAGCTCAAAGGTTGCTTAGCATTTAATAAGTTTACTCATGTATACATGCCATACAAGACTTTGTGGGGGGATTTCGGTAAGACAAGGGCAATTTTCTATACACAGTAGCTCAACCAATTACAATGTATCTTCACTGTTCCGATGCCAGCAAACTGATATCTTATAGGATGCTGAAGATTCCAGCTCTTTGTATATCATCACTGCTGTTTAGACTGCTTGCTAAATAACCTAGCATATCATTTTAAGGTAATTGTATATTATTTTCTCAGCTTGTCTGATGTCTCACTTGTATAGGTTCCTCCTCTTCACAAACTCCATGCAGTAGGAGATCTCCATATTCCCCAATGCACCATGAGGCCACCTGAACTAATGGTTGCTGTAAACAGAATAGAGCACTGTGAGAAATTATGTTTTACCAACTCTAAAACAGTGTAAGTACTCATTACAAACATACCATTGTCAAACGTACAGACTACAGAGAACAGAGGGAACAGTGATTTGATCTAAACATACTGATACATATTAGATGTTTATAACTGAATGCATGCAGTTTTATTGGCAGGATCCTATATTTGCAGATAAAATACCCACACAGAAGAAAAATATATTTTAAATATATTTTGAAAATATTCTTCCCAAATATATTGACATATATTTGAAATACTACAATTTTGGCCGTATTCAATATTTATATATTATTTTTACTACACAATATATGAAAAATATTTTTAAAAATACATTTTCAAATATACTGTATGTCATTTAATCTACATTTTTGGAATGCATTTACAAATATATGTAAATATATATGTTTGACTTTTTTATATGTTAAAAAAATCTGAAGAACATATTTAAAAAATATATATTTAAAAAAATATTTTCATATATTCTGTAATATATAAAACACGTATTTCAACATGCAATATATATATATATATATATATATATATATATATATATATATATATATATTGAATACGGCCAAAATTGTAGTATTTCAAATTAATGTCAATATATTTGGAAAGAATTTTATTTAAATATATTTTCCTTCCATGTAGGTAAAGACTTCCTTTCCCCTTCACTTGCCTCTGCAGTGTTTGAACCTCTCAATAATCGCTCAGCCATTAGATGCAAGAACCCTAACAAAGGTTCCCATGATTAGCTGCAAGAGGCAAACCCCTTGAAAGTAATGGGAGGCTGTCAGCTCCCACAGCTAATTACACCCTCCCACATGTAATCGCTAATGCAGCGATTACATGTCAGTGATTGGCCCTGGACACAGACTGCCTATGTCCAGGGCCAAGTGGGAATAATTACCTGAGAGAGCTGGCAGCCACTAATTGCTTTCAATGGGGCAGTCTGTCACAGCTAATCGTGGGAATCCCTGCTGGGGTTCTCGCATCTAATCTCTAAGCAAGAACATTCACAAATGTGAATGCATCCTAAACTGTGTAGCTCCATGGTGTCACTTAAAAACTATTGAATTATAATAATGATCGGGTAATCTTTGGGTAGTGTATGTGAGGAGCACAAAGCTCTGAAGGCAACATTTGATAGACTGACCAAATGGCAATATAAGTAGACAATTTCTCGTCCATGATAGCCATAAAGCAGGGCTAATAGTGTTCATCTGCTTAAAGATCTGCTGCTGATCATGTGGCAGTGATATAAGTCTCTGGCTAACCTTTCTATCTGTTCTGCTTCTACAATCTATACTACTATCTTGTTAATGATACCTGGACAATGTCATTCCTAATTGCTTTGTAAAGCCTTTGAACTATGTAGCCATGAAGCTC